CGCACCATGTCCGCCACCAAATTGGTTGTTTTTGGAGTCCAAAACCAGTAGCAATCTTGAAAGAACTCTCTCGGTTGAACGACCCTCGCAAGGGTCAGGAAATCCTCCTAGCCGCCAAGGTGAATCGACCTCAACAGCGAAGAGATAACCTCATTTGAATCTGATTCAACCACTATATTGGGAAATCCCAATTCTTGAGCCACACAAACACCCCCTAACTACAGACAATGCCTCTGCAACCAACAATAAAGGCTCCATAACTGAACTTCGTCAAGCTACAACAAATGCCCCAACTTGATCCATGATAACAATCCCCAAGTATCTCATCCTCGTTGCCACGCAACAGTTGGCGTCCATATTAACTTTCCGAAAATGAAGGGGATTGAGGGTCTAAGTAGTACCAGATCGGGGGATATCACTGGGACCGGAGGGAACACGGACCCTGAGACTAATGGCCACAAAGGTGATCATCGCACTGGAGATAAAGTGAATGACTTGGCTTGGAGATATAAGGTTTTTGAGCAAAAATCATTGCACAGCGCGCCTTCTAAATCTACCAACAGGTAAAGTCAATCATCGTCAGCACTCAACCTTTCTCTTCCTTGTTCTCTGCTCACATCGAGGGCATCATCTGAAGCCAACCATTAAGGGAAGTGATTTGACTTCTGAGAACCCGATAGTTAAGAGAGCCTACAAACCAAATAGGCCCAACCCATAGGCAAATAAGAAGCATATGGTCCACAGACTCCACTTCCCCATTACAAATATGACAGATTGGAATGAGGGATGAGCGATGCTTGAATATGGCCAATTTGGTGGCTAGTGCACCCTTGAGAGCCCTCCATAAAAATGACTTAACCTTTGGCGGAACATGCATATTCCAAATCTCATTCCATCTCTTTCCCACTTGTCGAGGAGTGGAGGAAGGCCTCGCAGAATTTGGCACCCCATGAGAATGTCGCCAATGGTACCTTGACCTCACCAAGAATCTGCCATTCTTGACCCAAGGCCAAACCAGGCGATCACAACCCTAAGAGGCACCAATGCAGGTATCAAGGATCGCTACATGATCCTCTGAGGGAATGCGGTCTGATTTTCTCCAAGTCTCACGAAGAAGATTGTTGACTAATTAGAGAATCCACTGTTTGATTTCAATCAATTTGAACACCCGCCAAAGGGCTTAGGTGTCCTGCAGGAAGCTTGGGCAGCCATTGGTCCACCCAAAATTTAATATTCTTCCCATTCATGACTTGCCAATGAGCTCCACCCATAATGATATTTCGACCCTCAAGAAGGCTAGCCCAACCCCAGGAAGCACAGTGACCTTGCTTTGCTTCAAGGAAAGAAGTATGGGGGAAATATCGAGCTTTCAAAAATCGCACCCCCATAAGGCATTAGGCTCACAAATTATCCTCCAACATTGTTTAGCTATGAGCGTCAAGTTAACATCTTTGAAAGAATGAAACCCCAAACCCCCCTCATTCTTCCGGTAGCCTAACTTTTCCAACGCAACCCAATGTATCTTGCGTTTCGCATCCTATGGACCCACCTGAAATGGGCAAGCATGAAGTCGAGGTCATTAGAGCAGTTCCAGCCCTTAAATTTTGGACCGGCACCAAGTGAAAAAAACAGCCCGGCACCCTGTCCAACACCTCTAGCCCGCAAAACAGCCTGGCACCCAGCCCAAGCCAGGCAGCAGCCCAGCCCATTTCAGACAAACCCAGAAGCCGGTCCAAAAGGCTGGCGCGTGCACAACATTTGCAACTGGGCGCGAGTAGGCGACAGGTTTGCAAGCGGTGGGGCCCGCTTCTCAGGCCACTTACATATACCCGGCTGAGGGCTACGTGGCCCTCCTCAGAGTCGTTGGATTTCCAACGGCTAGTTTTTGTAGGCCGTTGGATTTCCAACGGTAAAAAAAATTTAAATTTGACTTTTAAATTGGACCGTCCGATCACATATCAACCGTCCACGTTTTTTTCACCAAAAAAAAAAAAAAAAACAGGCCCAACGGTCAGAAATTTGACCGTTGGCCACGTGGCAGCTGGTTGGCTGTTGGATTTGATTATTTTTCAAATCCAACGGTCCAGATTAATTACAACATTAAAATTTATTAAAAATTAATTAAAATTTGTGATTTTTTTTTTAAAAATACAGAAAAATTTTAAAAAATTAATTTTTTTTCTTCTATAAATACCTAACCCTCATCTTCCACCTTACACCACATTTCAATATTTTCTACACTTTCTACACTTTCTACATTTGAATATTTTGTACACTTTGAGAGAAAAAAAATGACTTCGTGGAAGCTCAATGAAGATGTTACGTTGTGTGAATGTTGGGTTCGCACTACTCATGACCCGATTACGGGTAATGAGATGGATAAGCGAGAAATGTGGAGTAAAATTACGAAATTGTTTTGCGATATACATGGAAAATATGCCAGATCTAGTCAAGGTCTTCAAGGTCGTTGGAAAAAACTCAACGCATCATTTACTTGTTGGAAAAACGCCATCTCTCATGCTTCTGGTAATCTACGTAGTGGGACAAGTTTAGCGGATAAGGTAACAATATTTTTATTTATTTATATGCATTCCACCCACATCAATATTTTAATTTATTTAATTTCTTATGTAATTTCTATGTAATATGCATTCCACGTCCATCAATATTTTAATTTATTTATTTGTGTTACACCCACATCAATATTTTAATTTATTTAATTTCTTATGTAATTTCTATGTAATTTATATGCATTCCACGTCCATCAATATTTTAATTTATTTATTTGTGTTACACCCGTATTTTTTAATACTATCTTATCCCACAATTTTTAATACTTCCTACACCCTTCTTGACACTTTGCGAAGTGTTTCTCTTTTTCACTCTGCGGATGTGGCACTGTTTTGACAAATGTTGACCACCTTGGGTAAATACCATCTGCAAGGTAGTATGGTCCCTCGTATTTATTACCATTAACCCAATATGTGCATCTCGGCCCATTTCCTTGTAGCAGTTCATCAAACACTGGAGATTGGGCAAGGACATTTAGGTCATTTTGAGCTCCTGGAACACCAAAAAAAGCATGCCAAATCCATGTATCAAAAGAAGTCACCGCTTCCAAAATGATGCTTTTGGCTCATTTTCTGTCGCCATAAGCTCCTTGCCACGCACTTGGACAATTTTTCCATGTCCAGTGCATGCAGTCGATGCTTCCAATCATGCCAGGGAAGCCTCGCATCTCACCCTTCCTCAGAAGCCTTCGCATGTCATTTGGCGTGGGTTGTCGAAGGTACTCATTGGTGTAGAGGGCTTCAATTGCAGAGCAAAACCGCATCAGGGACTCCAGAACTGTTGTTTTTCCCAACCGCATCAGGGACTCCAGAACTGTTGTTTTTCCCATCCTTGCGATCTCATCCACTTGATCTGCAGATGCTCCATATGCAAGCATTCGCAAGGCAGCCGTAATTTTTTGCTCAGGAAGAAGACCTAGAACATGAAAAACATCCTCTTTTTGCACAAAATATGGATCATGGTTGTAAACATCACTCATGATTTTATCGAACAAACTTCGTTGCATTCTAAAACGACGTCTAAAAACATGATCCGGGAAAACGCTGTTAGGAATAAAATAATCTTCCAAGAGATCTTTACCTCGTCTTTCCCTTCTTCTATCGATGTTTGCCGCACGTCTGGGTTTGGCTATCTGACCCATAGCTTCCATGATACGGCCGGAATGTGAGGCCCTCCGCCTTCTATGGTGATCATCCTCATCCTCCTCCATTGCGAAGACCTCATCTCCACCTCCACCTTGGTCAAGATTGACCAATTCTTCCTGTTGTGCCAACAACCTTTTCTGCTGCTCTTGCAACTGTTTATACGCTCTCCTTGAAGAAGACATTGTAAGAACTCAAGATTTGAAAACGATAAAGAAGAATTCTGAGCTAAAAAAAAGGATTGAGTTTAGTGTGAGGATGGATGTAGGGATGTAGGGTTTATATGGACAAAAAAAAAGAAGATGAGGTTCTGGACAATGTCACGTGGCACTACGTGATTGGTTGAAAATCTTATCGAAATCTTGGCTAAATTATTGTAAATAGGAAGTGACACGTGGCGTGTCGGGATTGGTTGAAAATCTTATCAGAAATCTATCTACAAAATAGTACGTTTGGATAATGACACGTGGCGTGACAAGATTGGTTAAAAATCTTATCGAAATCTTGCCTAAATTATTGTAAACAGGAAGTGACACGTGGGTTGTCAAGATTGGTTGAAAATCTTAGCGGAAATCTATTCAAAAAATAGTACGTTCGGATAATGACACATGGCGTGACGAGATTGGTTAAAAATCCTATCCGAAATTAAAACTATTTTTATTTATTTATTATTTTATAAAAAATTTATTTAATATTTTAAATGGACTGGGTGCCAGCGCATTTTGTAGTGGTGAAGATCGTTTGTGCCAGCGCATTTTTAAACTAGGTGCCAGCACATTTTTTTTGGGATGGAGATGCTTTGGCCTATTACTGTTCATTGGGTCTATTACTGTTCACTGAAGTGGATAAATGGGTTAAGTGCTGGCGCAAAGTCTTTAGGGGTGGAGTTGCTCTTACAGATGGAGACCAAGAACTTGAAAATATTCATCAAGCAAGTTGGAATGGGCTGGGCCACTACTTTGATCAAAACTTCTTTTCCAGTTGGGAAGAGAAGGTTCTACCTCCATCCTTGAAGCTTCCCCAGAATCCGACCCTTGACATGCGCAAGTGCATGGCGTTTAGACCTACCCCAATTTGATGGGGTTCCAAGGTATAGGCCCGGGTCATTAACTTGCTGCTTACGCAGAATACCTGCCAACTTCGAACCCAAATCGCAACGCATATTTGCACCAAAGAAAATGCTAGACTTGTACAAGCTGATCTTATGAAATCTATATTGAGCCCAATATACAGTTACAAAATTGAAAAATGGGCTTATAATTGATTTGAGAGCCATATACCCATCAACCTTTTTGGACATCACAACACAACAAAGCCCCAAGGACAAAACTGGCAACAAAAATGTAAGTAGAGTTATAAAACTAAATTAGGGTTTCATCTGGTACATAGCCTCCTCGGACTTTGAGAGAGAACTCGCAGCCTCCGGTCTCGACCAAGCAAAATGGTAAGTGCGTTTCCACCCTTACTGCTGCGCGCATCTTCCTTCTCACTTGGAACTTGGTGGTTTTTCTGTTTGAATTTGCATTTGTAAGATGAGCTTTATGAATTTGATACCAAATCTACTGTCTTGTGTATCTTGTATCATATAATTATCAAAGGAAGAATTGTGTTCATCTCTTCTTTATACTCAATTTAGATGGATGGATAGATAGACAGATAGATAGATAGATAGATAGATAGATAATGCATCATCTTCATCATCAGCATCATCCTTTGTTTGATTTGCTTTGAGCATGTGGGATTGCCCACTTTTAAGTAAGAGTGTATTTCAATGTTTGATTTATTCACGACATGATCGATATGAGTGATGAGAAGAGATTATACGATTCAAATTAAAAATAACGGGAAATTAGCCATTTTCAAACATTTTTAGAATTTAGTTTCATTTTTTATTTGTTCTTTCTTGTTTATTTCGTGTTTTGGAGCTCATCGAAAAAACTGTGGATCTGATCCTTATGATTCTGGAAAAGGAACTCTGGCTGCTTTCATGATTTTCATGCTCCCGGCCTTATATATTCCCCAATGCTTCTGGTTTGTTGTAGCTCTAAAATTCCGTTACTATTTTTATTCTAAAATTTGAACCAGAGGGTACTATTTCAAGGTCACAGAATAGTGCGACTTTCATTTTAGTATCGATCTCGTGGTAAATTTTGCTTAGGTTGGTTGAAATGAAACACATGTGGTCTTTTCATATGAAGCGTCTGACGGTGTTTTGTATAATCCTCTTTGTTGGTGTTTCACCCATCATTGTTCTTGTATCCTTCTACCAGTACAGATTTTATAATCATGTTAAAAAGTAATTTACTCGCTAAGAATCTGGTTCTGTTATAAATCTGTTCAAGTATTGGATAATAGATGTTGAAACATGTGAACATACATGCCTTACTTAGATGTAAACTTTAGAATGTATAATGATCTGTGATGTTTACACTATGTGTGTGCACCAACAGCCAAAGCAGATCCGTGAGATCAAGGATTTCCTTCTAACTGCAAGAAGGAAGGATGCCCGCAATGTCAAAATCAAGAGGACCAAGGATGCTGTCAAGTTCAAGGTTCGGTGCTCCAAGTACCTTTACACACTTTGTGTGTTTGATTCCGAGAAGGCTGACAAGTTGAAGCAATCTCTTCCTCCAGGTATAAATTCTAGTGATCACTGATGTAATTTATTACGGTGGGCAACTCGTACTAGTATATTCTTATTGTGAATTAAGGTGCATGAATCCCTCTTGTTTATTATGTTGTTGCCATTGTTGTTCTATTTTTCGGTTGTGGAGCACAGTGGAATCTATTTAATCCTGGAGAAGAGTAGTTTGTGTTGAGTCGGGGGACTTCCATCTGTTATTTTGTTTTATAAGCTCACCCACAGTTAAAACTAATTATTTCTTTTTTACTTTGGATTTGTAGGTTTGAACGTTCAGGACCTTTGAACAAGGATTTTGGAGTAGCTGGTGGGCAAATTCTAGTGAATGCAGCAATGGAATGAAATCTATTTTTGTTTGAACTTAAAAAGATTATTATGGCCGGATGATGATGATAACGTTGTTGGTATTAGATGTTAAAATGCCGAGATATTTGTGGTTAATGTGTGTGTGTGTGTGTGACGTAAGTGATTTGTTTAGATGTTTTAGTTATGGATCCATCTGGTTTGTGTTTCGTGTTTCCGTGTTGGTGTTCGGAGTTAACGGTTAACAGTTTTGAAAGGAAATGGAATTGGAAACAGAAACAGAGGTAGAATCTAGAATGTGAGCAAGAGATTTTCGTTTGGGATATGCTTCTTATATGCCTTGGGAAGTATGTCGGACTACTCGCATTATCCGGCCTCATCCGATGGATAACTATTGAATTGAATTGCCGGAGGCACTGGCTTGGACGGTTTGGTGCAACAACAACCTAAACTAATTAGAGGGAGAGCCAGAGAAGTTGGTGAGGGGGAGTGGGGAGTTTAAAAACTATTTCACTTTAAAATTAAGTAATAAAAAAGAGTTCGGTAAAAATCAAATATCTAAAAACATAACCTCCAAGCAGTTGCTTTAAAATTAATAATCATGAGATAATTCAAAGTCGCATGTACGGAAAAGAAAAGTGTCAAAATATGAGCTACTTCCCCTAATAAAAGCATAAAACAAATGCAACAAGATGGAAATCCTTCAGTATTCACTTTGAGGACATTTTTTGGCTCATTCCCAATGACGGAGCTATTCCTCGTTTCTGCACTAGAAATTTTGATATTAAAAACATAAAAATAAAAAATTATGCACACAAGGTGATTAACAAGCCAAACACAGGATAATAATAACATCTAATTTATGGTTTGATAAAAAAATTTAATAATAACAATAATTTTAAATTACATAGAAATTGACAATTAAATTATTTCTTTAGCATTAAAAAACGTGTTCATTTTTTATTGATAATTTATCATTTAATTTACAAATTTTTACCTATAAATTCAATTTCTCTAGCATTACGCATATTAAGTAGACGACACAAAAACAAAAACATTATACATACATGTGGATGTGATGCCGTTCTCTTACTTGTCACTTTGACTCACTCTGCATACGTAGTAGTTGTGGGAGAGACAAGAGGAGACGAGAAGAGAAGAGAACAACGGCATAGCAATATCCATGGCAGGCCGCTGCTTCTGCCCCTGTTTCGACTTCGAACACGAGAACCGCACCTCCTCCGACACGGAGGTGGAGCCGGTGCTGCTGGTTTCTGGCATAGGAGGCTCCATTCTGCACTCCAAGAGGAGGAAGTTGGGGTTCGACACCCGGGTCTGGGTCCGGATCTTATTGGCTGACTTGGAGTTCAAGAAGAAGCTATGGTCTATCTACAATCCCCAAACAGGTTGCTTTCTCTCTCTTTCTATACACTCTTCCTCCCTCCTGTTTATACTTGCGTAATATTAATATTGTATGTATATATATCCATCCATCCATAAACACACACAATTGCAATTAGCTCTGGAGCAAGATTATACAAGCGAGAGACTCAGACAGACAAGTCTAAGTGTTGGTCTTTTTATTGTTTTCTTTCGAAATTGAGAACCTTGTTTTGGGTCGGTGGCAATTGGGAAACCAAACCAAAATGTATGCAGGAAAGAAAGACAAGACAAAGACAAGTGTGGAATTTTTTCAATCGTCTCATCTGTCACTGTTTGCTTGCTGGATTCTACTGGGATTGGGAAGAGACCATGCATAACATGATACTTTTAGTCAGTGTTAAGATTTACCATTTCATTGTTAAGATATCGTCACATGCATTCGAATCAATTGGATATATGCAAACATGTTTCAACTTTCATCTATCATGTTACGATTTCATTCAAAATTTATAAACCAAGTCAAAATTTTATTTCAAGAGCTATCATTTCCCTTCAAGATTAGTTTGTATGATCTTCTCATAAACATGAATGAAGCATCAAATCCAATGGCCACCAGGTTGGTTTCCTACCATTTGAATCATGTAAGATGCCTAAAACATGTTAGTCTAGGGAAATCACAAATTCATCTCCAATTTTGTGTCTGTTATTTGATGTTCTAGTTCTGTGTAGAATCAGTCTCTAACTAGACTCATTTGCCTTTCCAGGTTATACTGAAACGCTAGACAAAGACACTGAAATTGTGGTCCCAGATGATGATTACGGCCTGTATGCAATTGATATTCTAGATCCTTCCTGGGTTAGAATTATACTTGTCTCCATGGATTCTCATAGTTTGGTTATGACATCACTGAATTATGGGCTTATATTATATTTCTTCATGTTTCCAGTTTGTCAAATTGATACGTTTGAAAGAGGTATACCAGTTCCATGATATGATTGATATGCTTGTCGGATGTGGATATAAGAAGGGAACCACTTTGTTTGGATACGGATATGATTTTCGACAAAGCAATAGGTAACTTCTTTTCAGCTGGTTACTTTTTTTTGGTGGCTAAATTTTTATAGTAATTGTATGCAAGCAACCATTTGTGGTATTTGAACTATCACAACCATGTTTGACAATTGGGTTCCTTGTTTGCGATATTCTGACCACCGTGGTTATTATGTTGGCAGAATTGACAAGTTAATGGAAGGTCTTAAGGTGAAACTGGAAACTGCTTACAAGGCTTCTGGGGGTAGAAAAGTGAATATAATTTCGCATTCAATGGGTGGACTGCTAGTCACATGTTTTATGTCACTCCATAATGATGTGCGCATACTGTCTCTTGGTGACTAGTTGAAGTTTATGAATTGTCATCAAATATATGCTGAAAATATAAACTCCTCTTCTCACTAGAGGCAAATCATTGATTGGCAGGTATTTTCGAAGTACGTGAGTAAATGGATCTGCATAGCTTGCCCTTTTCAAGGTAGTTTCCTTTATTCCAATTGTCTTCGTATTTGGACATATGTCAGCGGTACTTAGTGAAATCTGTTCGTTGAATCTTCTCAGGTAGCTAGAAAACCATACTATGCATTCCCTTTCGGCCTCTTTTGCTCAACATCCCAATATTTAGTCTTCTTAGACTGGGAGTCAAAGCATTTGATAAAATTGCGATATTTATGCTTTCATCCCTGATTGTTGATTATAAAATTCAAATTACAGGTGCACCAGGATGCATCAATGATTCTCTCTTAACTGGATTACAGTTTGTTGAAGGCTTGGAAAGTTACTTTTTTGTATCAAGGTGGACTATGCACCAGCTGGTAATACATTGAATTAAACACTTGAACACCATAAAGAATTGCTCAATGTCGTTCTTGTAATATGTAATTGACTTGCATACTTATTTTCCTTTTTTAGGAAGTTGGGCATATCCGTCCAGCCAATCAAAATAATAAAGATATTATTGTTCTTTATAGCATTTCATCCCTAACAAGTATTTGGCTACATTTTTCAGTTCTTAACTTCTTACCGTTTTTTATTCGATAAGGTGTGCTATTAGGAAGAACTAAATCTGAATAAATTTGTTTTCACATATAGTTGGTTGAGTGTCCATCAATCTATGAGATGTTGGCAAATCCAAAATTTAATTGGAAAAGGCGCCCAGAAATTCAGGTTTGGAGGAACAATTCTACAGAAGGAGAAACCTTGGTTGATTTGGAGTCTTATGGCCCAATTGAAAGCATTCCCTTGTTTGAAGAAGCATTGATACATAATGAGGTACCACTTTTCTGATTTTTCTTTCTACAAAACTCTGGAAAAGTCTTCAAAATTTCTTGCGTTATTTTGGCTTGTTTTGTTATGTATTATTTCATGTGCCTAAACCATTGGGGCAAATCTTGCTTTCTGGTGTGGTGTTGTACTGTATTTAGGAAAACAATTATACATCTAATATTGATTAAATCCAATACTTATCAGAGCTCAAGATGGATACACTATGCTAGCAGCCCAGCACTATAGACAACTTTATCTAGTAACACATCAATCATGTTGTCAATGCCAGTGGACAATAGTTGTTTGAGGTTGCAATTGTTGTCCGAGTTTTGTCTCCCTGCACATATCCGAATGTCTTGCCATTACTTCTTTCTCTCTTAATCAATAGCCTGAGCTTATGTCAATCTCTTTCATTGCAGCTAAATTATGATGGTAAAACGGTAGCTTTGCCATTTAACCATTCTATTCTCAGATGGGCTGCTGAGACTCGCCAAGTTTTGAACAGTGCTAAACTACCAGATAGCGTCAGCTTCTATAACATTTATGGCACATCGTTCGACACCCCTTTTGATGTTTGGTACGTAAGAGAACTACTTTATGAATTAAGAATATTTAAGGAATTTAAATTCAAAATAAGTAGCAGCTGGACCCATACTTAAATTAAAACAGGAAACATGTGAACAGGGTTTGCAATCCTTGGTATGACTGGTTGCTCAGTTGAGACGGAGATGTTTATTATTTTAGTACACGTGCGAGCTAATTTTGCAAAATAAAATAAAGAACTAGTAGAAATTGACTAGCAGAACAAATTTAAATGGAAGTTCTCAAGGTTTGACATTGTAAAATAAAATGGTTTGATGAATATACAATCCAGAGGTGTATCATTCTGTTTATTTCATAAGCTGTATCATCTCCCTATCGAGTTATGTAACTGTTAATTTGGTAGTGATCTGACATATATATTACTAATGCAGTTACGGTTCGGAGACATCTCCAATACAGGACCTGTCTGAAATATGCCATTCAATTGTGAGTTATTTACTGTTTGTGAAACCTTAAGTCATGTGTGTAGGTATCCCATCGGTTCAAAGATTTAACTTTTAAACAGCCTAGATCTTGTGTCCTTTGATCTCTGATCGCTGAAGTAGTCTTTAATAGTAGCTTCCAGTTTTGACACAGATTATGCACCCCTGGGATGTTAATGCTTTTATGCCCTATGTCCTCTCTGTGATTTACACGATCTCTTTCTTTCCAGCCTCAGTATTCTTATGTGGATGGAGATGAAACAGTTCCGGCTGAGTCAGCAAAGGTGCGCTATCCGACCTTTCATATGATCCTAGTGTTAATATATATGCTCTATTCAATAGTTCCTGCTGGGTTTTATTTGCGAAGTATTGTTGTGGTTTCAGAATTTGAGCGAATTTGATCGAACTTTCTATCTTAATTACTATTGAACAGGCAGATGGATTTGCTGCAGTGGAAAGAGTAGCAATAGCTGCAAGGCACCGGGAATTATTGCGGGACAAAACAGTTTTTCAACATATCCAAAGGTGGTTGGGAGTCGAACAGAAGGTCAGCAGACATTCTAAGATATCCAAAGTTGCAGACGCCTCTTCAAATAAGCATGCAAATGTGTGAAATCCTTTTTCGATCTGCTTGAAAATTAATTAGAGGACATTCCATGTTAAAAATAATATTGCTGCGATAGCACCTTGAAATTGTACTGAATTCTTTATTTATGACTTTTGAGTGCTATTAGTTATTTCAGTATTGTATGTATAGTATTGTTGGCATGCATGTTAATTTCCTTGAATAGTTAATCAAGTGGTGGTATTGTGACATTAAATTTAAATCACATTTACATACGCTAAAATAATCACATGATTGTCATTTACTTTTATACTCTGAATGAACTTTGCCATGGAAAACGCGTTTTGTCGATCTTATATTCTTGCACCATGGGCCATGCTTGATAAATCTTGGCCCCCTTGCAAGTTTGCAAATTGCAGTTGCTCGGCCTGCCCAAATTAAGGATACAAATCTTCTACCCGGGCAGCTAGTGGCAAGTAGATGATCAATTAAAGCTGTAAAAGGGCCAAGTTTGCTAATGTGAGGGTGAACCAGACCAGAATCTAATCTCAAGATAACATTACACTTGATCATAATTAAACACGCTAAACTGAACACTTTAGAAGAACATCATGCGAACTTAATTTGTAGTAGAAGAATCGCAATAACTTTTAATGAATATGAATTACTATACAGATATACGTATAGTATTGAATTAAATCATAGCTAAGGCTAGGGAAACACAAGGATGGATACATTCAGCCTGCCCACCCAAATCAACAAGCTGGAATCTCATACATACACACACACACACACACAGAGTAATGTTAGGGAGACCAAGTTTTTAAACCAAATAATGTAATTGTTGATAATTAGATTATTAATTAAACGTCGATTTAATGTGCTTATTTCTTACTAGTAACACATCATTTATTTTGTAAATTTTGTTTAAAATTTTAATCCTCCTAACATTGACTATATACACACACATGCTCAGGTCAGGAATGAAGGAAGGGGGAGGAGTTGGGTAGTGGTACACGTGGAAGACAGCCACCTTCAGTCACACGTAAAAGCATGACCCCATGATCCCATCCACGCTATATATAATGCAGTAATTTGATTTATATATTTGAGTTCATGCATACATGTCCTTCTAGTTAATAAATGTAGAGCGAGCCAGTGTTATTAATAATTGATTCTCACATATATAATTACGCATGGTAAGGAAGGAAGAAGATCAACTCGGGCCCGGAGTACCAATCAGTGACAACCAACACTTAAATCTATTTTAGCTGTTGCTTTCAAATTCTATCTTCAACTTCAAGAAATACATCTAAAGAAAGCTAAAAGAATTTAATTTTTTATTTTTCCTACTTTGTTTTATTCCATTTATTATTCAAAAGAAGACGAGAGGTTAAAAAGACTCTTTATGAATTTTTTTATTATTTCACAGTTTAACGTTAATTGTTACGTTATTATTATAAAATATTATAATAAAAATATAAAATGAAAAAGAATTTATATAGAATTTCACTTTTAAAAGATTATCTTTTTTTTTAACTTTTCTCAAAGAAGATTGAGGGAGAGGGATGTGGAACGAAGAGATGGTGCATGGTAATGGCATGGTCAAAGGTCAAAAAAGTATGAATCCCAAACACAGAGTTTTTATTTATTTAATGGCTAGGGTTTTGGAGTTCGATGTGAATTATTCTGTATAATAAATGGAGCAAATAATTTAGAGAGGAGAGGGATGAATGAATGAGTGATGAAAACCCCTGCCCCCTCCCCCCTCTCCCCTCTCCCCTCCCGAGAAAAGTAAAAGAGACGAGAATGAGCATTCCTAGGACCTGTTGGCTTTTGGGAGATTCTATTTGGAGGAGATATGTAAGAGTCAGTCTCACAGACACGCATACGCGCATGAGGCATGCATGGATTGCAGCTGCACAGCACCACCTGCCGGTGCAGGGTTTAATTATTTATTTTACCTTTTCGATGGACAAATGAAAAGCCCGAATTCCATCTCTGTCTCGCTCTCTCTCTCTGCTGTACTTAATTGACTTCTACATTAATTAGGTTCTTGTGGCCTGTTTACATGAGGAAGAAGGGTTCGCAATTTATAAGGGTCCCCCATTCATGGAATGAATAACCATTCAGTTCCTTGTTTCTGCATGCAATGCAAGCAGCATATACATAATAGATTAATGAAGGATGCTCGGTCAAATTCGAGGCCAAGGTTAATTTAAGAACTCGGTCGAGTTGCGGAAGAGTTAACAATCTAACTGTAATTAGGAAATGCTTTCTCAAATTCTATCTTTCTAATTCTTCTCATTTCGTAATGTTTCGTAATCATGTATTTTTTAAGATGCCTTTTAAAGATCTACTCTTTAAAAATAACCAAATTATAAATTCTGTGACTTTTCTACCAACGTTGTTATTATTTCAGTGATTATTAATTGAAAAACATAATTTCTCTATTCATTAGATGATCGTCATATGACTGGATTCCGACTTTGGTTCATTTTTATCAAAACTGATATTTTAAAATGACACATAAAACTCCAGTTCATATTGTCATGCAACATTACAAAATTAGAAGGATACAAAGAAAGTTTTTTTTGTTCCACTTATTTAAAAAGATTATTAGATGATCTTTTTAGCCACTCACACACTGTTGTTTTTAGTCCTATTGATAGTTTTTGTTTGATTCATTTAAATCAATGACTAAAAAATAAATGTGTATGAAAAAAAGAATATGAATATTACGTTTTATGTAAAACTAACATATAATTAAGGAGAAAAAAAAAAAAAAAAAGGCAAGACCGGATGGGATGGGAGGAAAAAGAGTATGGGAACGAGGGGTTGGACCCCTTTAGCTTTAGGAAACAAAAGTCTTGCTTTTCCTTAGGTGACATTGAATTAAAGCTCTACTTTAATGGAGGCCTCAGGCCGGGGTTGTAATATTTGCTGCATGGCATACCAAAAAAATATTTGCTGCATGGATAAAGGGTGCGAGAGAGAGAGAAATCTTTAACGCAGTGGGTGAGTGTGAAGCTTTGTGGTATTATTTCTAAGAAGGCACGGGTGCTCCGCTGATTTCTCCAATGCGATCCCAGTTCCCACAGGGGCTTTGGCTCTCTTTGAGACGAAAATTGATATAATATTTCTATAAATAAACATCTCCTCGATTTTCATGCCATGATTATTTTTCTTATTTGTCGTATATCTTCATGCCACTCTTGTTAATTCCCCTTTGTATAATCCATCTTCGTTAGTTCATTTGTGGAACTACTAACTACAAAAGTGTGTATGGTTGGATGCAGAGATAAGGAAATGTTGTTTCGTCGAATTCTCTTTACAATTTATTTATGTTATTAACCGTAAGTTCACCATTGATCTTATCTATATTTGTTTAGTTTCACAGTCCAACAACAAAAAAAACTTTCACAGCATGTATATTTCGAAGGAAAAATTATAATTGTTATCCACGAAACCGGCCAAAAGTGAAAATAATCCACATTCCACATTGTGTACACTTCGATGATTTCTTACCCTAAACCCTACATGAACAACACTTCCCAACTAATGTAACTGATATGTATTATTGTATAAATGCACGTCATTCAATTAGTTTGGTCATGTACACATAGAGATTAACTTGTAGGATGCACTACTAGAAGTGTTAAAACTCCATCGATCTTTGCATTCAAATATATGAAATACATAGTTATGCAAAACTACAAATCTAGATTGTTGTTAATATATAAATCTTTCCGGGGATGCATTAGAATATTCTCAAGTTCCCAAAATTCATAGCAAAAGAGAAAAGTAGAGATCTCAGATGCTATTTCTGAACTTCAGATAGACCCTTGCAAAATTTGCATATAGTACGCCTACTGCAAATTAAGTTAGTAACAAAACACCAAATTATAAAAATGCCTATCTTCCCTACCTAGCTGGCTAGGTGATCATCATCCAGTAATTAGCACAGATGCATAATGAAAAATCAAAATTAGGAAATTAGTTCCATATGTATACACCTTTTCTTAATCCACCCTATCCTAATACCAGACCAGTAACACGTCCTCCATCCGTCCATCCATTTTAAACGTACGCACATTAATTTATGTGTCATTCCAGACTGAAAGGAGCCATATTGTGAGTAGATGTTGGAACTGCTGTTGGCACCCAATTGTCATACTCGCTGCTTCCCTTCATCGACACACCTATTGATGAAACTGATGATGACTGTGGCGCCTGAACCGGAAGATAATACAAGCTCTTTGCATGATTATAAGCATCCGCAGTGGTAGTAGTACTACTTGAGCCAAACACATTTTCATAACCTAGCGCGGGCTTCACCTGATCATGATCGGAACTGCCATTTCCAAAAGCATTACTATTATTCTCATGATCATTAGCTATAGCCGTCCCCATAGGGATTATATAGCCACCGTGATCTCCGGCAGTAGTACCATTATATACGACAGAATTAGAACCTGAGCTATGTTCCATAGAATCCGTAGAACTATTTCCCATGAGGTTGACTGGCTGAAAGAAATTGTGAGTACTTCCCAACTGAAGTAGTTGATGATGATGATCTTGTGGCTGATAAAAGCTTTGAGAATTAGTGTCTTGCTCTTGCTTGCACCAAACCCTCTGCCCGCCATTAGAATTATATGGCACTGATGAGTAATAATGCATCCCAAAAGGCGGCACTGCGGCCTGATGGGCAACAGCGGTAGCGGCTTGGTTAAATGCAAGAGTTGGCCAGCCTACTCCAGTACCATAGACGTTATTTATTCTCATTCCATGATGATCTCCATTTATCAGTTGCTGATGATATTGATCGAGACTATTACTAGTACTAGTATTCATCATCATCAGCTTTTCGCGTTGATCATCCGTCGTTGATCTGTTGTGTCCGTCAGCCAGTAGAGTCATCTCGTGCAGATGCTGGTGATGTGCCTGCTCAACGTCTTTCAGTCGCTTCGCAGCACCACCAATGGGCAATGTGCTGCTCTCCAGAATCGACTTCACGTCGTATCTAGTCATGTCAAAGTTTGTTACTGCATTAAGTCCCCGGAATTTTATGGCTGCGATGTCATATGCCTCTGCTGCTTCCTCCTGGGTACCTGAATATATAAATGGAAATTCATTAGGAAATTATGAAGTAAAAAGCTAATTATCATCAGTACCTTAATTAATTACAAGGTCAAATTAAAATTAATATTGCAGGAAAAAGAAATTAAACTTACTGAATGTTCCAAGGTAGAGATCTTTGTTCCCTGCTACTCTTCCAATCCTTGCTTGCCATCTCCCATGCTGGTGGTGCCTGTTGCACATGCAACCAAATTAATTACATAAACAAACTATATGCAAGTAATTATAAGGCATACTTGTAACATGCATATAAATACCAATCTATAATTTGATGACTGAATGCTGCTCAAACTTAGGGCCTCCATGTACTTTCAAATCGATAACACATTTAACTACATCACATGCATTCTATGTTGCATTACCTTGTCACTCCTCGATAAATGGATGCACCACGAGAAAACCCACTACTCTTCCTGCAACAAGAAAATTCATTGAGTACATGGGCGGAGCCAATGAAGGCTTACTGGGGGCAGATGCCCTCACTCAAGTAATTCATTTGTTCAGTTGCAGACTAGAGTTATATAATATACACGTGTTATCTTTGAAGAAAATATACGTATCTAATATCCAACATACCTTCATACTACTTATACTCTATATCAAATATTATGAGTAAAAGTGCTCTTACTCTATCATTCAAACTTAAAAACTCCTCTCCTGCCTATCATGTATTAATATTTTTCTCATCATTTTTCCACTTTCCACTACTATACTGAAATTTTTGTAACATGGAATTGTGATATATCATCATTTGAAAGCATCCTTATTATCATATTGAGTATAAGCCATACTATAATAAAGTTTTCTTAGTTAATTTTTGGGATGCCCCACTAAAAGAAATTTGTAGCTTCGTCCCTGACCTGAACCGTCTATTTTTTAAGTCTCAATCATAGATCATCCTTGCAAAAATTTAAATCACTCCAAAACTATTTGCCTATTTAATTGTCACGATGAAATCTCATTGTTTTTAATAGAAAGTGTTCGTCAATTTCTTTGAATTCAATTAGATGTCTCAAATATTTCTAATTTGACTAATATTTTGCAAGAATGATCTATGAGGTGCAACTTAAAAAATAAATAGTTGGGATCATTGAAGTTTGATGTAGTGTAGGTAGGTTTTCTTAGTTGATTTTCAAGATGCCCCACTAAAAGAAATTTGTAGCTCCATCCCTGATTGAGTACATATAATTAAATCGTCAATTTCATTATAATTAATCTGCCCCATGACGAAATATATATATATATATATATATATGCATGTATGTATGTATGTACGTACCTTCGCAAAGATGCAACATATTCCTGCCTTGTCATGTGCTTCATTTCGTCTACCTCTTTCTCATAGTTGCTAATCTGGCATTAGTTCAAATTATATTAGAAAGCTTAAAGGTTGTCCATGCATCATGATTATCAGATAATAATTAATGAAAGACATGCATGCATCTATAATTTCACAACGGCGAACAATATACGATTAATGATACTTAATTTTCTGGGATTAACTTCCGTAAAAAATTAATATCAGTTGGGAGTGTATATACAACTATTTTTTTAAATATAGTCGAAACACTTTCCCCAGTTTCCAAGCTAACCTAAGCGCGCATATCAATACCAATGGCCGACATTGAGCAGATTTTGTTGCGCAAACAAAATAGGCAACATGATCAATCGACACACATGAATCCTTTTAATTATTTTTTTGCATAGAGAGTTCTTTATTTAATTTTTTTATTACGTTTTGTAACTCACCGGGAAGTTGGTAGTGGTTGTAGTACCCCAATATTTCAATGCTGCTAGGTCATAAGCTCTTGCGGCCTTTTCTTCCTTGTCATAACCACCTATGGATTAAGGATTGAATTAATTATTCAGATCCATCAAAAGAAACGGAAGATCCGGAAAGGTGAAAAATCCATTTGAAGAAAGGCATAGACCTTTAAACTGTACGTACCCAGATAAACTGCAAATTAAAGAGGATTGAGATGGAAAGGCGGCCCAGATCAAGAAACGCACAAAAGAAAAGCAGCACTATTAGTTAAAGAAAAACATGATATGCGTGATGTATCTTTAAATTAAATAAATAAAAAAACTTCAAACGAAATAATCATTTTTTTTTTCCCTAAAAGATCCAACAATTAAATTAAAATGGACTGTGTACCTTGCCGTCCCTTTCGAGTTTGTCCCTCTCTTCGGCAACTATTATCCCACAAATGAGCTTCATATCTACCTGTCCATCTGTGCCTGTTTGTACGCATAGATTGAAACGAGTAGAACCTTATTCATTTAACGCATTGAACCCCCAAAATCCAAAAATTAATTAAAATGAGTAAATGAATGAAATAAGAAAAAAAATTAGAAACCTGGTTACACCACGGTATATAGAAGTTCTCTGTCCAAATGTATCAATGGACTTTCTGGGCACGGCCTCAATAGCAGTAGCAATACTAGTCTGGTTATCGATCCCAGACTGAGTAGTCACTGCGGGGGCAGCGGTCCTAATAATTGCCTGCTTATTATTATCTCGATCTCGATCTGACGAACAGGTTTGATCTCCGGCCGTAGTAGCACCTGCAGTACTCATCGAAAGCGAAAGAGTCTGTGCACTGCTAATACTAGTACTTGTGTTGGAGACACCGATGCCATTAATATCGCTCTTGTTCATCTCTTGCAGCTGGGGTGCTGGTTGATTCCTCAGCCATGTCTTGATCATTGAAAGCCCAATATTCGAGCTGCTGCTGTTGATATTAATGTTACCGACTGCACCGTCTCCGTTTATGACATTTGTGGGATCGGAAATCTCTAACGGAAGCTGCAAAGAAGAGGCTGTTCTGGAGAAGATGTTGTCGGTAGTATTAGTACTGGCGGTGTTTTTATTATTGCATGCATGCGCAGAACTAATGCTACTCTGGATATGATCGTGATGATCCGCAATGAAAGAGTGTCGGCCCAGGAAGTTTTCGAGCTTTGGCTGCTGCTGATGACGATATTGATGGTTTTCAAGGTTTAGGGTATTGCATGAGTTACTGCTTCCCATAAGCATAGAGAGGTGGTCTGATGTGAACTTGTAGTTGGTGCTATCCGGTGAGTTCATATTCCAATCTGCACCTGCTACAAATATGGTAAACCAAATTAACAATTTACAAATTAATTCAACTACTATATGAATGGTGAAAACTAGCTCTAGGAAAAAAAGAAATGAAAGAAAAAGTCATTCATCCAAAAAAGAATAAAGAACAGAAATGGTGTTTAATATTATATGGAGAAGAGGAAGAGGGGGGGGGGGGGTGGTTAGGGTTTTGTTAAGAGTTGATAAACCTTGGGAGTTGAACGCAGCTTGATGAAGCATCCCAAAAGATGTGGGGAGGTGGTTGAGAGAATGATGATTAGGAGCAGTAGGAGTAGCAGATGTGTCGTCATGAGAATTAGTGAGATCAAAGAAGTCTCCGGAGGCATCGGTACCGGAGATTTCATCCGAGTACTTAGAGCGGAGGCGAGAGACTAGTGTGGTGGTCTGGTCAGATAAGTCGTGATGATCTTGGCCGTGCTGCTGATGATGATGATCAGCACCCTCAGATATCGTTGGATCAGCCGGAACTACTTCTTGAGGGGAAAGAGAGAAACCCAACCAGTTCATGGAACCCATCTCAAAATTATTCTATGTAGCTATATATACATATATATATATATTGATTAATGGTTTGAGTTAAAGAAAAGAGACGATCAGACAGCTAGTACTCCATGCATGAAGAAGAAGAAGATGAAGTAGCCAACTGGTTGAGGAACAACTATTGTTTAAAGCGAGAAGAGTCCATTTCCATGGTGGTATGTGGGTATAATCTCTATTGGGACTCAAAGGGAGAAGAGGAAAGGTCAAAAATTTGTAGACATAGAATTAATTGAAATGACTCTCATTTCTTCCAAAGCAATTATATATTTCAATATTTTTAACACACGCTCTCTTTCCCTTCCACTTCTCTCTTTCACACGTACGGGCGCCTCGGCCTCTAACTCTTGTTTATAGAAGACAAGGGCAAGAGCACTTTGCTGGATCTTTTATTTGACTCATAAGTATAGGAGCTGGGGGTGGTGGAGAGGGGTGATACTGTAATTTTGCATTAAACCCTTAGTTAACTGGTTAATATCCAAAAACACAAAATGACCTAGTGGTGGATTGGATTTTCTTTTCCATCTTGTGCGTCCATTTTTATCTTTATCTTTTTTATTGTACCGCAGTTAGAATGAGTATGATATTTACATTTAGAAATTAAGTAGTCTGAGTTTGATACCCAATTCCTTATATATAGGTATCACACATACTAAAACTACTATGAAAAGTTTAAGATCTTCCACAATGAACGGAGAAAGTGAGTGTGATACCAATAAATTAAGCTCATGCAAGAATCACACCCCTACAGTGCGCTAAAAAAAAAATAAAAAATTAGTGTGATACTAATAAATTGAACTCATGAGACTACGATACTTATAAACTAGTAGGTTCTAAAGTATAAGTCTAATAATTATTAAACTCACATTAGTGTACCAGTAGTGTTATAGTTTATGTGTAACACTATTGTTGATTCAACATATTAGTATCATACTCATAAATTTAATATATTAAACTCATAATTTAATATATTAGTATTACACTCAAATTTTTCGACCTATTATATGAGTGTGATTCTTATATCGCTATTAAGACACAAATGAAAATCAGCTGCCAAGATCACCAAATGAGTTAATATATTAATTTATAGATTTTTTTTATTTTTATAATTGGACCTATATATCAATAATTGCTTGCTAAGTTTTGACTAAAAAGTGAGAAATAACAAAACTAATAAAAAGGTACACGTACGAGAGTAAGAAAAAAATATTATTATTAAATTGAATTTTAATGAACTCCATTACAATTGTATACTACATTAGAAATGAATGTATATATTAATTTAACCGTTTAGGTGTTCGTATATCCAAAATTGGTATTGTGTATATCTCACAAGTGGCTATTATATATTTTGGATACAAGATAGTTCAAATTAAGTTACTATAATTGTAAGAGATTATGAGACTAACACATGCATGGGTCTCATATTATATATAAATACACAATATATTCACATATATATATATATATATATATGTGTTAATTTATATACAAGTAAGACTATGACCGTGTGTGCTTTCAATCTTAAAACAATTAAAGTAAACACATACATACAGTACATATTATATTGTTCCTTTCTTGCAAGCTGTTCATGATCAAATTTCCTTTTCCCCTTGTCTTTAGACATGAAATACTTGAAATATAAAATATATGTTGATTCTTGAAGGTGATAGATTGTCTTGGCATATAGGATTTTTTTTCTTTAACTCATTATATGTCAAGTTCAAAATTTTTATATTTTTTTTAATCTAGATTAGAGTTAATATTCATTGTAACAAATAAAAAAGAATCACAACTATAATATATAGGTCCAGCTTCAACACTATCATTTGATATTAGAGTACTTTAGTAAGATACGAAAAAATTCTTATTTTCAATTTTAATCATTTATTTATCGTATCATTATGCTACGCAACATTAAAAAAATTTCATATGTTAAATGGATTTGGTTTATAATCTTTCTAATCTCTTTTAAGTTCCTTTCTGATGACCGACGTCGAAGTGTGACAAAAGACTCACACGCAGAAACAGCCCCCTTCCACGCCCATTTATTCATGCCCACTTGGACATGTGTCATTTCATCATGCATGTTTGTCAGATATAATATTATGGAAATTAAATCAGATCACTCTCAATCAGGATTCGACCTCCTCCTTCCACCACCAACCACCTATTCTTTCTCGCCCTTTTCGTTTCATTAATTTCACTGCAATTCCCTGCCTCTACCTCTGCCAATGCCTGCAGCACATCTGCTTTCTCTCTCTCTTCTTCTACTTTTTGACTCTGAGTCTCTGCCGCCTACAAACAAATACACCCATAACTTTTTCACATTCCATCCATATCACGTTATTTAACTACATATTATGCCTTTAATATCTTCAAAGAAGATGTCAAAATATACACATCAATTATATTAGTAAAAAAAAATCACACTAATATACTCCAAAGGAAGTGCCAAATCCTATATGGCGATGACATGAATTGGCAGCAAAAGATTTTTTTTTTATCAATTATTAAATATATTTTATTAATTTTTAATTAGTTTAATCATTTATTATAATTAATGTTGAGTTTATCTATAGAATTATCCTATATATTTCTTCTTTTCAATCAAAAAAGGTGAACAGACTACTGATTAAACTTTAAATGTCTTTTATTAAATTTTAATTAGTTTAATAATTTATTTTATAAAATAATAATTTAATTTGATAAGAACAAAACTTAAAAAAATGTTAAAGTACTACATAAATTATCAAAATTTAAATTTTATATTTAAAATTTGTCATTTCTTTTGAAAATGGTCTAATAATCAATCTGCTTCTCCGCTTCAAACGGAATCTCTCGATCTCCCTGTCGACCTTTAGCTCCTATCTCGCCACATATACTTATACTTATATCATGTATGCAGATATGAATATGACTGACACACTTGTAATAAAAAGAACACTGTTAATTTGTTTACCGCAGAAAATTAGACAAAGTTAGGCAGAGGCAGAGGGGATGGAATCCTAAGGTAGTGTTTGTTAATTATATAAGTATTATATAAGAGCATATATACAGTGAAAGAAAAACATATAATATTATACGGTATATGAGTACACGGCATGCAGCTAGCTAGCAGAGATATTGTATATATGGGAGAGAGCCTTGCAGCCTGCACCCCCATGCGAGGACATTAACCCTTGTCTTCCGGGTGGGTCTTCGGTGAGTTTGATTACAACTTCATTCTCTATCAATAATTTAGTCATTTTTGATAGGGACAGTTCGATTGCTATAAAATCTAACTCACATTCCTATACTACTAGTCTTTATGCACATCCTCACGTGCATGCAGAAGATATTTTTTGAATTACGGCATGCTAAGTATGATTTACACGTTTTAAAATGTATTTGTATGCATAAATTGACAAAAAAAAAGTTAAATATCTGAAGTAAATGAATAATCTTAGATAGAATCGGTCTTTATAGAATTTACATTAAGAATGGAGAAAATAATATTTAATAAACAATTGATTGAATCACATTATTGCTAACTCGTTGTGAGGCTAAGCCCACCCCCTCCTCCTTAGTGTAGATAATATATATTGTTTGTTAAAAAAAAAATCATTGGACAACTAATTTAATCACATTATTATTCGCGTGCGAAAGACTTCTTTTATAACCATCATTTAATAAACAATTGATTAAATTATTGTTAGCCTATTGTGAGGTTAAGCCCACCCCCTTCCACCTTAGTGCAGATAATATCGTTTGTTAAAAATAAAAATAAGCAATCATTTGACAACTAATTTAATCACATTATTATCCGCATGCAAATGATCTTTTTTATAACAGGCATTGTACGCCTCTTAAGATATTTTGAACGTGTTTAAAAATAGAGAAAATAATATTTAATAAACAATCGATTGAATAACATTATTGCTAACCCATTGTGAGGCTAAGCCCACCCCTTTCCCCTTAGTGTAAATAATATTATTTGTTAAAAAAAAAATCATTTGACAACTAATTTAATCACATTATTATTCGTGTGCGAAATACCTTTTTTTATAACCGGCATTACACGCCCCTTAAGATGTTTTGAACGTGTTTAAAATAGAGAAAATAATATTTAATAAACAACTGATTGAATCACATTATTGCTAGCCCATTGTGAGGCTAAGCCCACCCTTTCCCCCTTTGTGTAGATAATATCATTTGTTAAAAAAAAAAAAATCATTTGACAACTAATTTAATCACATTATTATCCACATGTGAATGACCTTTTTTTTAACCGGCATTACACGCCTATTAAGATGTTTTGAACGTGTAAAAAAAAAACAATCATTTGACAACTAATTTAATCACATTATTATTCGCGTGCAAATGACCTTTTTAATAACTGACATTACACGCCTCTTAAGACTTTTTGAACGTGTTTAAAAATAGAGAAATTGAATCACATTATTGCTAGCCTATTGTGAGGTACTAATTATGTGACATTCCACATCGCCCAGGGGAGTGATCTTTATACGTATATTCCCATCCCTACCTAGCATGAGGCCTTTTGGGAGCTCACTCGCTTCGGGTTCCGTAGGAACTCCGAAGTTAAGCAAGAAGGAGGCTAGAGCAATCCCATGATGGGTGACCCACTGGGAAGTTGCTCGTGAGTTCTCAAAAACAAAACCGTGAGAGAATGGTAAGCCCAAAGCGGACAATATCGTGCTACGGTGGTGGAGCGGGCCCGGGAAGTGGTCCCGCTCGGGCCGGGATGTGACAATTTGGTATCAGAGCCTAACCCTGGTCGCGTGTGTGACGACGAGGACATCAGGCCCCTAAAGGGGGTGGATTGTGACATCCCACATCGCTCAGGGGAGTGATCTTTATATGTATATTCTCATCCCTACCTAGCATGAGGCCTTTTGGGAGCTCACTGGCTTCGGGTTCCGTAGGAACTCCGAAGTTAAGCGAGAAGGAGGCTAGAGCAATCCCATGATGGGTGA